TTTGTATCTGTCTGATGATGAGTAACTTTGAGCATTTTTTCATGTCTATCGGTCATCTGTATATGCTCTTTGGAGAAATGTCTATTCCGGTCCTTTGCCCATTTTTTAATTGTTTTGTTTATCTTCCTGGTGTTAAGTTGTATGAGTTCTTCATATATTTTGGAAATGAACCCCTTATCTGATGTATCATTTGTGAATATGTTCTCCCATACAGTGAGTTCTCTTTTCATTTGTTGATGGTTTATTTTGCTGTGCAGAAGCTTTTTATTTGACGTAGTCTCAGTTCTTTATTTTTCCTTTTGTTTCTCTTGCCCTAGGAGATATATCAGCAGGCATATTGGTACAAGAGATGTCTGGGGTTTACTGCCTATGTTTTCTTCGAGATTTTTTATGTATTTCTTGTGTGTGGTGTAAGTTGGTGGTCTAATTTAATTTTTTTGCTTGTACCTATCCAATTTTCCTATCACCATTTCACTGTCTTTACTCCATTGTATGCTCTTGCCTCCTTCGTTAAATATTAACTGACCATGATGGCATGGATTGATTTCTGGGGGTCTCTGATCTGTTCCATTGATCGGCATGCTTGTTCTGTGCCAGTACCAAGCTGTTTCGATTATAATGGCTTTGTAGAATAGTTTGATATCCAGTATTGTGATCCTTACAATTTTGTTCTTCTTTTTCAAGATAACTGAGGCTATTCACGTGTGTGTGTTTTTTTATTTGTATGTTTTTTGTTTGTTTAGGGTTTTTTGGTCCCATATAAATTTTTGGACAGTTAGTTCTAGATCTGTGAAATATGCCATTGGTATTTTTTAAGGAATTGCGTTGAATCTATACATTGCTTTGGGTAGTATGGCCTTTTTAACTATGTTAATTCTTCCAATCCATGAACATAGTATATGCTACTATTTGTTTGTATCACTCTCTCTTTCTTTCTTCAATATCCTATTGTTTTCCAAGGACAGGTCTTTTACCTCCTTGGTTAAGTTTATTCCTAGATATCTTATTATTCTTTGCTGCAACAGTAAAAGAGTTTTTTTTTTTTTTTAGTATCTCTTTCTGAGAGTTCATTATTGGTGTATAAAAATGTCATTGATTTCTGGATATTAGTTTTGTACCCTGCTACTTTGCCAAAAACATTTTTTAGATCTAATAGTTTTTTGGTGGAGTCTTTAGGGTTTTCTATGCACAATATCATATCATCTGCAAATAATTACCCTTTTACTTCTTTTCCAATTTAAATGCCTTTATTTTTTTCTTCTTGTTGGAATGCTGTGACTAGGTCTTCCAATACTATGCTGAATAAAAGTGGTGATAGTAGACATTCCTGTCTTGTTCCTGATCTTAACAGAAACACTTTTAGTTTTTGCCAGTTGAGTATGATGTTGGCTGTAGGTTTGTCATATATGGCCTTCATTATGTTGATGTATGATCCCTCCATCCCCACTTTGCTGAGATTTTTTTTATTCATAAATAGTTGTTGGATTTTGTTGAATGATTTCTCTGCATCTATTGATAAGATCATGTGATATTTATCCTTCATTTTGTTTACGTGACATATCACATTTATTGATTTGGTAAGATTGCATCACCTTTGCATCTATGGAATAAATACCACTAGGTCATGATGTATGATCTTTTAAATGTATTGCTAGATTTGATTTACTATTATTTTCTTGAGGATTTTAGCATCTTTGTTCATTAAGGATATTGGCCTATAATTTTCTTCCTTTGTAGTATCTTTATCTGGTGTTGGAATTCGGATAATGCTGGCCTTCAAAAAAGAGCTTGGAAGTGTTCCTTCCTCTTGATTTTTTTTTTGACATTTTATTCCTTTTTAAATATGTCCCTTTAACATATTTTGTAATACTAGTTATGTGGCAGTGAACTTTTAAAAATAATTTTCTTGTCTGGATAGCTCTTTATCTCACCTTCAAATCTAAATTATAGTCTTGCTTGGTAGAATAGCCTTAATTGTAGGTTTTTGTTGTTGTTGTTTTTACTTTGGTTATTTTGTGCCAATCCTTTCTGGTCTGCAAATTTTTTGTTGAGAAATAAGCTGACATTTTATTGGAGCTTCCTTGTACATAACTGCTTTGCTCTGCTGCTTTTAAGATTCTCTTTTATCTTTAACCTTTGGCACTTTAATTATGATTTGTCCTGGTCTGAGTTGTTTAGGATTTTATGTTTGGGACACTCTGTGCTCCCTGAAATTGTATGTGTATTTCCTTCACCAGATTAGAAAAATTTCCATTATTATTTTTTCAAATAGGTTTTGCTGTCTTTCTTCTCTTTCTAGTACCTCTGTGATACAAATGTTGGTATGCTTGATGTTGTCCTAGAAGTTTCTTAATCTATCCTTATTTATTTGATTCTTTTTGCTTTTTGCTATTCAGATTGGATGTTTTTTCTTTGTCTTTCTAAGCTGATTTGAACCTCTGCTTCATTTGGTCTGCTGTTGATTCTTGTTCTTCATTTCAGTTATTGTTTTCTTCATTACCCATTGGCTTCTTTTTATATTTTATATTTTCATTTTTATGTTTATTCTCTGTTGAAGTTCTCAGTGGGTTTATCTCTCTCCCCCTAAGTTCACTGAGCATCCTTATAACCGGTGTTTTGAGCTCTGCACATGTTAGATTGCTTGTCTCCATTTCATTAAGTTCTTTTTCTGGAGTTTTTTTCCATTTGGGGCATAGTTCTTTCTCTCCTTACTTATGCTGCCTCTCTGTATTAGGTTGATCTGCTACATATCCTGCTCTTAGAAGAATGGCCTTATGTGGTACGTGTCCTGCGGGGCCCAGTGGTACAGTCTCCCTGTCACCTGGTTGGGTTCTCTAGGTCTTTCCTTTGTGTGGGTTGTGTGCCCTCTGTAGTAGTTGAGTCTTTGTTGCTGTTGTGATGTCAGTGGGAGGGGTTGACCCTGAGGCTGACAGGCTGTGAGGAATGTCTGTGGCTACAGCAGATGAGCTGTTGTGCAGGGGCTGGCCCGTGGAGTGGAATTTGCTTTAGCGGGGCTCTGCT